TATTTATCTTTTTATTTTTGAATTAATTAAAAAATGGTAATTTTTAGGGAATTGTCGTAATAAGTGGTGCGATTTCGGTCGGATTGGTATTTCTGGTTGAGCGACTCGGACCAGTGTTCCAAATATCTGTCAGTATGCGTGGCATAACCGATGGACCATTGCTGGGTCTCTTCGTGCTAGGAATGGTAGTACCCTGGGCGAACACAAAAGGTGTGTTATTTGGTGGCTGTGTCGGTCTCATCAGCATGTTCTGGCTAGTAGGAGGCGCTCAATGGTACATTATGCATGGTAGCATGAAGTATGATTCGCTACCTACGTCAGTGGACGGTTGTCCATTTAATGAAACTTTGTCGACTGCGACAACACCTAGTTGGAAGGATCACGACGAAGAGCCAATGAAATTGTTTCAAATATCTTTTATGTACTATAACATAATAGGAGCGACAATCGTTATCGTCATTGGTACTATGGGAAGTTATTTTTTTGGCACGGATCTGGCAAGCGTGAATCCTGATCACATTACACCGATGATGAAACGGTATGTAGTAAAGAGTTTTGATATTACATTTTGCAGTCTCATCTTTATATAATATTATATTTCTTTCTTTTCTTTTTTATTTTTATTTTTATTGGAGTCGAATCTACCGTATTAAGGCTTCTACTGCGTTCAATTCGAAAAGAGAAACCAAAAGGCCAAAAAACTTGTTCGTTTCGCGCCTCTACTAGAAAATTTTCTCACTTCATTGCTATTAGCTGTGATTAAGTGTTCCACCCATTCCATCATATATGTAACGCTCTTAGGGAGAGGTCAGATAGTGCGGAACGTGCATTATGCGAATTTACGGAATGAATTCCGGTCACTCATAGACATTCCGCAAATTCCGTTATGCAAAACTGTTTTCTGATGTCCTATTGAACGGGATTGGTTGCGCAATAGGACGCTGATTAATTGTAAGAGCCTTTGTATAGATTCCTTTCATTGGATCTATCAGAATAGTAATTGCTAGCGCGGAAAATGTTCAGTACAAAGGAGAATGCTCCGATGATCTTGATCTTGACATATGTTGTCAAGAACATGTCCCTGAGTAACAATGTAAAAGTTTTAACCATCGCTCATTGTTCATAGTAGAATAGAATAGAATATATATGATTTATTGATTCTTTTTATTAGGATTACAATTTTCCATTACACTTCTATTATGAACGTTTGCTCTTAACATCATTCCTTATATCTAACTTAACCTAATTTACAACATTTTATCGCTAACTTCTTCTACTTACTAGACTAAACTATCCTATCTATATACACACACTTATATATACACGCTCTAGTCTCTATCCGTACACCTCCGCTGCCGCTAGACCTTCTCTATCATCAACTCATGCTTCTTTTTTCGTTCATACTCTCTCACTCATACTCATTTATTCTTCTCTCTCACTCATACTCATTTATTCTTTTCTCTTCTTCGTCTCCTTCTCTCCCTATTAATCCCCTTTTTCCTATTTACTCTATTTACCCTCCTCTCATCCCCTTCTATTCTTTCAACCTATTCAACCATTTGTCTTCTTCCTCTTCCTCCTCCAACACCTTCTCCACCATCTCCTCCCAACTTCCGTCTGCCCTCCACTCCCACAATCCTTCTACACATGTTTCCATTCCTCTATCTTCATACCACACATCTTACATAATCTCTTCTCTTTCTGCTCTCAATATTTCTCTCCTCTCATTTTGTTCTCCAGCCTATACTTTGCTATCTTCTGCCACCTATGTTCCCCCCATTCCTTTTTTAAATATCTCGGTATCTCCTCTTTTTTAATTCACTTGTACCATACATTATACCTTGATTCTTCAATTCTTTCTGTTTTCTCTTCCCTTTGCAGTACTCTGTCTTTCCAGCAAAATCCATGGGTTCTCTTTTTTCTTCTTAGTTAGTTCATTTTCCTCTACCTTCAACATATTTCCTTTTTTCTTTTCCATTCCGAAATCTTTCCTCTCCCTGCTTCCCTCCTTTTAACTTCATCCCAACATTTTGCTATCCCGCTCCCTCTCTTCGTAACCCTATGCCTGTTTCTCTGCTCTCCCTCTTAACAGCTCTCTCTGTAGCTCTTCCCTAAGTAGATAACCCGGCGTTCTTCACTCTATTCCCTACTTAAATACTTTTCCTGTACTCTTTGATCTCTTTTTACTCTTTCCACCCCGTACCCTAATACCGACCATACTAAAACGCTAAACAACCATAATTTCTTTCCCCAATTGCTCCTAAACCTTCTCTTTCCTATTCCCCACACCACTCATTACTGCTACCCTTTTCCTTAATCTTTCTCTAATATGCGCCTCTTCTCCTCCTATTTCTCTAAAACACATAACTCAGATATCTAAATTCTTTTTATTTCATCTATCCATTCTTCTCTCCACCACCACTCTGTCTTCTTATTTCTTTCTCTTTCTCTCCTTTTTGAATCTTATTATTTTCGATTTTCCTACATTTATTTCTAATTTCTTTTCTTTTAAATATTTCCCTAACTTCTTTATCATTCTTCTCATCCCTTGCTCTTTCTCCGCCAACAATACCAACATCGTCCGCGTATGCCAACGACCATATCTTCTTTCTTCCCACCTCAATCTCTTCCCACCCTTTTTTTCTAAAGAATTCCTCCATATCTGCCAGTAATAAATTAAATAAGCTTGAACCTAGCGGGCACCCCTGCTTCACTTTTTCCGTCCAAATTTCCTTACTCTCCTTGTCCTCTACTCTTATTTTAATCCTCGTTTCCTTATATAACTTCATATCTTATCAGACCCTCCCTCACTCCCCTTTCTCTTATTATCCTCTACAGTACTTTTTCGACTACTGTGTCAAACGCTGCTTTTAAGTCAATAAAAAAAGCAATTAATCTCTCTTCTTTTTCCACTAGATTTTTATTTATTACATAATTAAGCACATTCATGTTATTCATTGTTCCTCTTCCACTCCTAAAGCCTGTTTGCTTCTTCGATATTATTTCTTTCTTTTCTACTTCTTTCCTTAGCCTTTTCGCCAATATTTCTGCGTACACTTTATAAAGAATCGGCGCCAACGTCACTCTCCTATAATCTTTTACTCTGCTGCTTTTCTCCTTCTTTAAAATAAGCACTATTATCCCCTCGTTCCATTCTTCTATCTAACTTTTCCTTTCCAAATCCTTTCACATATCTTCCAAACCCACTTTTCTATACTTCCATACTTCTTTCGGAACTCCGTCCTCTCCTACCGCCTTCTCTTAAATATCCTTGATATTTTTTATCGTCCCCTTTACTTTCTCCTTACTTACTTACATCTCTTCATCTACTATCTTCCTTCCCTTTTTTTCCGTATTTACTATCCAGTCTACTCTTCACAATTGCCTCATGAAGTAACTCTCCCACTTCTTCATATTTATCCCACTGCATTCATCTTTTCTTCTCCTCTGTCCTGCTGGTTTTGCCTTTCTTGCATTCCACCCATCTATCATTTTTCTACTTATTCCTCTTTTCACATAGTTTTTTTTATCGCTTTTTCGTTCTCTTATATCTTTCCTTACTTTCCCCTTTCTCCACCTTGTTAACTCCTGCATTACTCTTTTCTTCTGTTCCCTGCACTCTTCATTGCACCCTTTACTTCTACCCTTCTCCTCCTCTCTTTTTTTTATTAATATCTTTTCCAACTTCTTTATTATCTCTCGCTTTTCCTTAACCTCCTTCTCTATCCTTCTACCTCTTGCATTTCCTTCCTTAATTACTGCCACCTCTTCTTCGTTTACCTTATTTTTCTTCTCTTTTCTCCTTTATTTTCCCCTCTACTACCTTGCCTTTCTCTGCCTCTCTTAACCAAACCACCACTGGTTGATGATCTGAATTACTTTTATTTCTTACCTCAAACCTTTCTATCTCTTCTTTTACCTTCGCCTCTCCTAATAGTGTCCTTTATTTTTTCTTCTTCTCTTCCCTTCCTCATCACTTATCTCTCCCTCTCTTTCTCTTATTCTGGCATTCAAATCCCTCCTTATACTTCTTCCTCTTTCTCTTCTATCGATCTTCTAACCACCTTTAACTTCCTCTCAATCCCACCTCTCACGTACATTTCTACAATCCTCCACCTTTCTTTTTATTTTTACTCTTCTTACCATAATCTCTTCTTCTTTCTTTAATCTTGTTTCTTTTCTTGATTCTATTTCCCTTTTAACTCCCATTACCGTCCCTTTTATCGCTCTTTCTTTCCTGTTTTTTCTATCAGTCCATTGTTTTTCCCTTATATTCTCTTATATACCTTTTCGGCAATCTACCCTCTTTCCTTTCCCATCCTTTCTTATCTATCTACGTCTCCTTAGTATCAGTATATTCTATTTTTTCAGTCTCTCTCAGAACTTTTTGTCCTCTTTAAGCCCGCCACGTTCCAAAAGGCCATTTTGCGTTTTTCTATTCTTTCCTTCTTCTTATCACTTTTTTTTATCCCTTTCTTGCCGGTTCTTTCTCCCTTCTCCTTTTTATTCCTATTTACCTTCTCTTCTCGCCCTTCTCTCCATCTCTGACTTCCCCCGCCTTTTTTCGTTCCTTCTCTTGATCCCTTTTCTCTGTATTTCTCATCCTCTCTAACCTCTTCCTCTCTTCCTCTCATCTTCTCAATCCTAATTTTGTTCCCTTTCACTCATGCACTTCCTTTTGTTCTTTCCTTTGCTAGTATTTCTTTTAGCTTTTTCTTCACTTCCCTTTCTTTCCTCGTTAAGTCTTCTTCTATCCATACCCGCTTTAAACTCTTTTTTCTTTTCCATATCAATTTTTTATCCTTCTCTTTTTTTACTCTTATCCAAACCTTTCATCTTTATCCATCTTTTCTGCGCTTATCTTCCTTATTTCCTTACTTTTCATCCCTATCTCTTTCAACACCTTTTCTATTTCCCATCTCCAATCCTCCTTCTCTTTCTGTACTCTTTTAATTCTCATGTTTTTTCTTCTCCTCTCCTCCCTGTTTCTCCATTTTCTTCTTTATTTTATTTAACTCCTCCCACACTTTTTGCTCTTCCTTTTCTTTCTCACTTTCCCTTTTTTCTTGTTTTTCTTTTTTTCCCTCTTTTCTTTTTTTTCAATTGGTGACCTTTGCGTCCTTTTGCTCTTTTTAAATACTCTCTCTTTCTTCTCCTCATCCTCCCTCCATTTCCACTCCTCTCTTTTTCTTTTCAGCGACTTTTTCAACATGGAGTATTCGCTTACTGTTCTCTCTCTCTCTCTTATCCCCTCCATTAATCTCAACAATTCTATCTTACTCTTCCCTTTTGCCTTATCTTCCTTCATTTTCCCCAGTTTTAAGTCTTTGCCCTTTTGCCACCAATTTAAACACACCTTTCTTGTTCCTTCTACACCACCTACACTTTTTGCACTTCTTCCAAACGCTACTCTCTCTACGTTTCGCTCTCTTTCTACGCTCTCTCCGCATCTTTACCTTAACTTCTTGCTCTCTTCGACTATCCATCTTAGGCGTCGTCTACAATACAGTCGTAAGCCGTAAGCCGTAAGCCGTAAGA